CGTACAGACAAGTTGATTAAAAAAACCCAAGCATCAAACGCAATTTAATAGACGTGTCTAGATAACTTTGCATTCGACGATAGATTTGCATACAACTAGAGTCCAAAATGCCGAAAAAGCACTAGGACGCATATTCAGTCTCATTCGACACACCTGTGAGTCACACAAATTCCATCTGAGAAACACTCACGTTGCTTTTTGTATTCACAAGTAAGATTAAAGGAAGCAAACCGAGTACGATTCTGCTTACGTCATCTTAAAAATTGACCTTCAAAAATTCCACAGGCTTCAGTGTTCGCATTCAGCATCCATTTCCTTTTTTTACTTTTAACATCGATTAATGAAATAATGGGCAGCTATTTTCTCCGTACTCGTGACCATGCTGAAGACCACATCTAACGACAAGTTTTTTACGTGTGGCGGAAGACCAACAATCTCCGAGTCCCGCATTGAAGCCACCAACTTTACTGTAGCCTTCTACGACTCCTGGTACCTTCGAGAGGGAGGAATGTTGGAAGCGATGGAGAACCGACTCTCAATCCCAGTTGATTGTGCTTGAAAACACGGTTGTGAACACCTAGAATATGCATACGCGGAAAAACGGGGATTATAAAAGTTGATCACAAACGGGTGTGTTGTGCGTCATTGGCTGTGGCTTTGTCGATGTGCGTGGGAGAAGGTAGTTGAAGGGGGCATGGGAGCAAGTTGAGACGTGACCTCACCAACAATGCAGATGATGACTCGAGATGCACGTAGGGTCAGGGCATGCGCTGGCATCGGTGGTAGACGTGTTTTAACACAACTGCAGTGGACAGACAGCCACCTCGCGTGAGTGAAGCGTGTACAAAGGCCCGAGTGTTCCAATGACTCACCCCTTCTGGTATTGGCTTCTGTCAGCATTCGCCTGCTAAGCACGCGTACGCACACGCACACAAGGACACTTGGCTGGTTCGGCACCACTAAACGCTTGTGTCCTCTGACGTCTCTTGTTCCACTCTTCTTAGGTTACTACAGGCTGTTAAGTAGAGGGTGGTAAGGTAGTGTTAAATTCAGCCGCTACGCAACTAAATACAATACAAAACCTACCCAGTCATGCTCTACCAGATAAGAGGATAAATTGCGCTGATGTCGTTGGTCGTAGACTTTCTTCGGGCTTCTAATAGGGTGTGGATGATTGCTTGCTTCTCCGTTTTGCAAGAAGGCTGTTTCGACTCACCATAATTGATGTATAACATTAGGAAGCAGCTTCGTCTTTGTACTTACAGATGCCTATGACTTAACTAGGCAAACTCATCATGTGTTGTCGTACAACAGCTATCTTAGCACGTGGACTTGCCGCTTTCTAGGTCCTTTCAACCGTCTTCGCAGTGACTTTACTTACCTATGATTTTATCGCTCACCAGGTCTACTGCATAGGGAAAAGCTGCTCGCGCACTTAAACAATGTGCAATCTCAGGAGATTCTGAAACAGTCGTGGCAAGGCGGGTCACTTTCGAATTGACGTCGAGATGGAGCAGACTCACCTCAGTTGGCCACGGTTAATAGGGGGAGGAAAGAAGGAATGCGAGCAAAGATAAATGTGCTTTCGTTTGTAACATTCCGCGCTTTCACGTTACTCCGCGGGTGTGTATCGTTCATTCACCCCATTGCGCATCGATGACCTTACGCACTAGCTCCCCAGGCCTGTGGGCGCAGACAGAACATGCCAATGAGTAAAAATGGTTTCGAGCAATGTAAGCATAGTACATCCACACCGAATTCTGTGAAGACTCATGGTGCCCAAAGTGTCACAATGAACCATCAGATGTACCGTGCACATGGGATGGTTAACTCACACAAATAAAACGATCAAGTCCACGGGATGTGAAGTTGCTGTTTTCATCAGAACTCACAGAAAGCGGTCATACTCTGTTTTTGTAGCTCATTTGGTTGATTCATGTCCACCAACTCAGTGGCCGCATAGTCAGCACGAAGCCACCTCTTCACAGCATCCCCATCAATCATGCGGAACCGTCTGTTCATTTAGTCCTGTGTGCAACACCCCCTCTGTCACCCATTCCACCTACCTGGACATTCGGTCAGTTGTGCTTTCGCCAATATCTGCATTTGTCATGCACGACTGTGAATACACATTCGCGACAGCCATATAAACTGAGTTGAGCTGTCTAATAAGCGTTTGTGTCTCCGTCATCGCCCGCCTTCTTAGTCTTCACGTGTATCAGTGTGGCGTGATCTGGTCGGTACAAAGTGGCGGCCCAGGAGTGAGTCTAGACCGCTTACCGAGGCCTTCAACACTTTCATTAACAGAAAATGCACCAACCTCATTTTGATCATTTTATCAACGATTTCTCAATTTTAAGCATCTGTCACATACAAGCATCGATTCGCCTCGACTTGAATGCAAAAACTGCTCCCCTACAATATTAGCGGATCGCGACAGATACCCCCCTCCTGAACTAATTCTGTGTTCGGATCTACAGTCATATCTAGACCCACTATCTCAGACGCATCGCACTTGTGGGTTTTTATTTGGGCAATTAGAAGCAGCTACAATGATTTTTCCATAAACTTGGTGCTGAGTTATGTGGGGTCTTGGCGTGTTTAATAATGCACATTAGAGTCACTTAGGCTTGTGTGTAAAAGAGATGGATGGTTGGCTCACCCTTCTCAGATTCTCTATTTCTCTCCACTTGTGAACCTCACATGTTTACCTCTTGCTTCCATCTTTTCCAGTTGGTCTTTCCTCCTCGGTTCCTCAAATGTGAGTCCGGTCTCGTGAATCACCTCCCAGGTAAATCGGCCAGCCTCGTACTCCGTCATATCGGTCTTTTCTGGATAACTGTACAGCCTGGAAGCTGCCATGATTCGACAGTATGCGTCAGCCGCAAAGTCATCGGCGTCCGCATTCACGTCAGATGGCAGACTCGCCATCTTTTTGTGCTTGCTACAAATTGACCTGAGGGTGAGAAAGTAGCGAAGCGAGCCGATTGTTCCAGTAATAAAATTAATTATGATAACTTTGAAAAATAAGAGCGCGATCAATGAGAGAATGACTGAGGCCACGGTAGTAATTATTTCCACTTGTCTTTCCCGCATCCATCGCTCGATGTGGCTTTGTGGATCTTCGAAAAATCTCTCAGATCGGCGCACTTTTTGACCCAGAAGGTCGTAGTCAAACTCTCTGGCGTAGGCCTCCAAAGTAGGGCAGATGGGATCCCACACTAAGCGCTCCTCGTCGTTCAAGTCAGCTGCCATTCCGTAACGGCCCAAATATTCTAGCTACTCAACAAAATCAATAATGTCCGGTTCAAATCCCCACAAACATCATCGTAACATCTTTCCAAATGTGCGCTTGCTCCTTC